GACCCTTCATCAGAAAATGAAGGGTCTAGGCCCGAAACGTCAGCCTTCCTGCTCCCATGATGCTGCTTGGCCTGCTGTGTTCATCCAGCTCTACACCTTGTTATCTTCCAGAAAAGACTGGTTCTGGGTTAATCTCTCAAAATGTGAAAGAATCATTCATGACCAGAAAAAATAAGGACAAACATATCAGGCAGTCAATCTGAATTAATTACTACACACTTAGCAATCACTAAAATAAGGTCTATGCAGATCCATACATAATCACCTGTAATTTAATTTCAATAAGAGTACGAAAAAAATGAAAAAAATAAAGAATCAAATCTCCCAAGTAGTAGATAGAGAAGAGAAGGGCCAGGTTTTCAATCATTGACACATTCTAGTGTTTAATAAAAAGAGAGGCATTGCTTCTTCACACCCTGTGTATCGCTCCCGCTTCATCGATGGATTAGCCAAAGATACTCCTATTTTCCCAGCTGACAATGGGCACATATAAGCTTTTTAAGTGACTTGACAGGGTAGACGTGGAAAGATTATTTCCCCTTGTGGGAGAGTCTAAGACCAGACAGCATAATCTCAGAATAACATGTCACCCAATTAAGACAGCAATGAGAAGCAATTTTTTTCTCTGGAGGAACTTGTGAAATTTGCTCCCACAGAGAGCTGTTGAGGCTGGGTCATTTAGTAGACTCAAGGATGAGCTGGACAGATTTTTAATCAGTAGGAGAATCAAAGGTTATGGGGAGAAGTCAGGAAAGTGGATTTGAGGATTATCTGATCAGCCATGATCTCATTGAATGGTGGAGCAGACTTGATGGGCTGAATGGTCTACTGCTACTGCTACATCTTATGGCCCAAGTGCTGGATTCATGGGGTATTGGCCACCTCGTCCAAGCAAGTGGTGCTGGGTAAGGGTTGTTTGAGATAGTTTGCCCCTCAATCTCCCCTTGTCTTTGTTTTGGCTTGAACACACTAGTTGCAGTGTATGCACCACCATAAGTATCTGCAGGAGAGGCACTGATCTTCGATAATAAGAGTTACACATGACAGATATGAAACTGCTACATTTGATCAGGCAAAATCACTAGGAAAACCTTAGGGAACTGCTGCGGATACACCTGTTTCTTCCAGAAGCTAGGGTAGATCTCCATGTTTTTACCCACGGACAGTTAGAAACATCAGTGGAATGGGTGCAGCTGACATAACTTGAGCATTAATTCATTTAGAACCATTACCTTATGCAAATGATTGATCAACAAGGATGGTAAGCTTTACCCCGATGCCAAACCAAAAGTTTTTGAAATTATATCCAAACTAGAAAATGTATTTCACTTTCGATTGACAAACAATAAAAACTTGAACAAGGAGGGATTTTATTGTGTGGAATGTAACTACAATGATGCTTGAATTTATCCAGACATAGGGCAACAATTCTAAGTTGCTCCAAGCAACAAAGCTCCAGGCTGACACCACATGGGTCAAATCGAACCCAAATGTTTATCAATGTGATCTCCCAGACTGCTTTTGGTGGTCTGAGGGAGTCACAAAGGAATTATTCAATGATTCTGTTTTCTCTAACTCTTTCAAAGACAGTGTTGCTGTGAGGTAAAGGAGAGAGGAGCCATGATGCTTTGGCATCGTGAATGTTGGGTATGATGTTTGAGGGATCAGCTGCTTTTCTCCTCACCATCCCTCCATTTCTCTGTCTGTTCTTTCCTAGCGCTGAAACCCCAGCCTGGAGACAGGAGCCATTAATGGATCAGTGTAAATTTCTCAGATCCGCCAACCATCTAACCCCAAATGGTCTTCAAGCTCCACCATCTGATCAGAGAAAATATGGAGATGTCTGTGAGGAAATGTCAAAGGCATTCTGTTTAAAGGTACTGTCGGAAAGGGAAAACTTGCTCTGTCTTTGCACTCAACTTGGAGTCTGCATTTAATATACTGTAATAGAAAATAATTTTGGAACATTTGAACATAGAACTTGGCAAAAATGGCCATCTTGCCGTAAAACATGAGCAAACTCAGCAGGCACTTCCCATTATTCTCTCTCGCTAAAGTACGCACCTTTCATTGTAGCTGGTGATGTCGTCAAATTCCAGGGGTACGTTCCTCCATCATTTCCCATGTCCGGGAAATCTGACGGAGCAGGTGACGGTGGCTGTGGGACAAAATTTGACAGTGGGAGGCCTTGAGTGAATGAGTCCAGGCACATGGAGTCAAAGTATTTGGAGGCGAGCATCTTGGTCTCACTGGTGGAAAGATTGAGGGTCTGCACCAGCTGGTCTAATGTGCTGTTGTATGGAGTCTTCAGGACACAGGTAGCTCCAATCCCCGAGGGTAGATAGAAGGTATTTGTCAGCTGCTGTGGGCTGGCATCAGGTGACAACTTTATCCTAAGTTAAAATAAATTTAAAAAGTTATATTCAAACAAAAATATACATTTATACCAATGTTTGTTGTATTTTCTTCAAAACAGAATTTCTGTAAATGCAATACAGTTTATTTCCCAATTAACTACTGTTCATTCAGAAAAAGCACTAATCAGGTGCAGAGCCTTCTCCAACAATATTCTTTCATCCTAATGTTGGTGCAATAATTTTACCAGTTTAATTTCCCATACAGGCCATTCTGAGTGATCCCGATAATGTTTCTTCAGATCATGGCAACTTTTGTGCTGCAACGTTACACCGACCGGAAACCCGACCAAATACAGAATTAGGAGAGTAAGCAACCTTTTGCTTATTATTCATTGATTACAATGCAAAAGCAATTCATTGCCTGTAGAGCACTTTGTGACTTCCTAAGGCCATAAACAGTACAACATAAATGTTTATGTTTCCATTTTCCTTATATACTCTGGCGTGTTTCCAGGGTAAATTGACAGGCCCAACAGCAGTAGAAGAAATATACTTGGCTGCTTTCTGCCAATGTTTTCAGTTCTGCTGATCTCAATCATTTACATGCAAACATCTGAAAACACCCTGGATCGAGAATAACCCTCTAGATTTCATTAATAGAGTTAGCAAAGTGTTTACATTTTCGTAAATATTTCTATTCCAAAAAGGTGCAAGCTGAAAGGCTTGTGAAGTGAAGTGAAGTGAACCTGCTTGGTTTAGCTTCTGCTCATTCTAAACAGCTCCATTGCAGTTTTTATCCTACATTTACCCAGTGGCAGACTCCTTTATGCATGCCATAGAAGTGGCAGACTTTGGAAGTCAGCAGAATATTAGGAATTCTCATTGCAATGAACAAATAAATAAACGGTCATCTTTGTTCAATAAACATGATCAGGATTGAACAAAGAAAACTGCAATGACAGATTGATATTCTGGAGTATTAGCTGGGGAGAAAAAATGGACATGTCAATACATGACATTTCTCGCACTCTTTAGACGATTGAATACGTTGAACACAATTCTTAATAAAGCAAAAGTCCGCAGGAGAAGCATTTGTTGACTTAAATGACTTCTAATTCAGTACTGCCTGAACCACAATGTGGTCTCCATTCCATGTAGCATCTTGCAATAAATTAAACTATACCGAGTGATATTAAAGGTCCTCTCTAATCTCATACCTGTACTCATTTCTCTCTTCGTTTGCATATGGTATGAAGTTCCCACGAGGCTGGGTATAATTGTGGTACTGAGATGGGGAAAGAATCAGAGGAGGCAGGTCACCTGGGAAGAAAGTGGTAAAAGTAGGTTAACACTCCATCAGTGAAATTAGAATGGGAGTTATGCAAGATGGCAATCCCAAAGAATAAATCTCTGCCTTACTCAAAAGGTGTTGATTAAGCCATTTTTAAACTGTCAGTGTACAGCATGATTAATGATGTATTTTGAATCACAATACCTATTTCAGGCACTGAGAGTGCCACTGTCATTGCTACACACACAAAGAAGGCTGGCAGCAGGATCTGGGAGAAAAGACTCTTCGTGTTGCGTTTGGCACAGTGATAACGTTTCACTATCAGCCCGTAGAATTGGCACAGTTTCAGCCAGGACCCCTCCAGCTTTGTACTCCCTTGACCCTCCAGGACAAAGCTCTTCAGGTCAGGTTCTGGTTCTGCTGTCGATGGTGGGAGAAAACAGGAAACAGGAATTAACTTTTGGAAATACACCCCATTCACTTGAGGCAATTGAAAACCTTATCTTTTGCTGGCACTTCTTGTCCAAAATATTTCTTCATTCTTTCATTCATGTGACATCCTGAAACAATTAATATTTTGGACTTTACATTGTTTATTTTACGGGTTCTTCATACTGTTAATATTTAATAAACTTTGCAAACCCCATGCTTTGACTTGAATAATTGAGTGTTTATGCACTTAAGAGCTTTCAAGATGTAACGACTTTCCAAATCTTCCACTGCTGATCAGAATATCTATGGTGTTACTTTCCTGAAGTTGTTCATCCCTGGTTAGCAAACAGGTGTTGTAACAATGCTGTGACCTGAAAGCAGTTAGATATTCTTCAGATATTTTCATGAATCTACACACGATCTTCTCCTCATTTAACATTCACACATACACACATTGGAGGAATTGTTAACAGCTGCAGGGCAATTTAAAATGTGAACGCCCACCGACTTTTCCCTTCTCATTCCAAGAATGCTTAACATAAATGTAAATATAAAAAGTGACCCTGTTGCTACCCTGGTTGAAAGGGATCAAACCTGGGATTCACAATGTCTAGAGAGGGGAGCAAAAGTCTTATCTTGATACAGAACTGAATCTTGATTTTGATCTCACAGCTTATTAAGTAATTCCTCCTGTATCCAGAAGAACTGTATTGATGTAACTCATGAGACAGAACTTGAAATAAGCACGTGATGAAATGGGGAAAAAAACCTACAGCAGGACCAACATAACTGTCTGTCATTAGGGTAACTTTAGGTTCAAAGGAAAAATGGGAAAAATGAGTGACTATTTCCTAGAAGGGAAGTGAAGCAGACATGATTTTATTTCTGGAACCAAAAACACTTTCAGGTCGAGATGAACAACATCGTAAGTTTTACAGAAATTCCTTTGCCTTTAATGGAAATATCCCATGACTGAGACGTCTTTAATTGTGACTGGGAATCGGCACAGGATGAAGATATTCTGTTGACCCATAAGTGCATCATGTACCTGGCAAGCTGTTGGGTCATGGCAGATTATTCATCTATGTGCATATAACCCTTTAAAGTTTGATTCAGTGGGCTGATAAACACAGATGACATCCAACTTCACTCCATACACTGCCATTTGTCAACAAAAGTGACTAGTGGAATGATTCAGTGTATTACTTACTCTGGGACAAGGCTCACATTCAGCTTGTGGAAATACCTGCATGAGCTTCTATTACTAACTATCTGAATGTAACACCACTCAACTTCCCTTCTCTCCATTCTTCGTTAATCAAATGCTTTCACACAAGAAACTGGGGCCAGGTAATGAGAGCACAGTCAGCTTTCTCTCTCTCAATGCTCTTCTCAAACTTTGACTCTCTAGCTTCTTCAGCTTAGAAGCCTGGCAGAGCCTCCACCTTTCTTTCAGCTCAACATTAATTGGGCCAAAGGCATCTCACATGCTACAAACTCCACAAGCGTGCTGAGCAAACTGTTAACAAGCTTGCATCCTGTCCAGTCTTGACTGAGTGGTAAACCTGATGCCCCATCCATCAGCAAAACCAATTCTTATATCACAATTAAGGTCCTTGAAATATCCTCAGGATTGTAAGTTTTCCGGCTAAACTCCAGGAAACAGAAATAGCTGATGCTGAGCATACTGGCTGCTTTGATGAGACGGTGTTTCTTGGACAGTGAAAGGCCCAAGATGTTAGGATAATAAATTAGAGATAGCATGTCAAGAGACTGCCCCACTTTTACTTGGAAGTGTTTAATTCCTGTCTGAATACAAGCTCTGAAGTTAAGGGAGTAAGCCCAGCTGGCTGTGCGCATTGATCGTAGGGTCATTATAATTCCTGAAATGTGTGTTGTGGGTTACTGGCCTTAAAAAGGGTGAAAACCCTACAGTGTGGATCATTCAGATACAGCGTAAAGAAACATAAAGCAGGTTAATCTGAAAACCAAAAGGTATACAAAATTAATGGTAGTTTTGAAAAGGGACAAATTCATTTCTTGACCTTTCTGCAAAGGAAGGAGGCAAGGAAGAGAAATAAAGAGAGATAAACAGAGAGAAAAAGAGAGATCCCAATTCAACATTCTAGTATCGGAAGCTGAGTCTAAAACAAATTTATCAGTGAATCTAGGTGAACACTAATTCATTGTGACATTGCTGAACTGGTTTTGTAATGTTAATTATAAGTTCCCTAACTTGACCTGAATAGTGACGAGTTAAATGCTAGGGTTTGTGTTATTATACAGTGGTAATCTTATCAGTAATATAATCAACAGCATTTTCTTACAAATAACTTGTTCACTGATATTCCATATGGGTTCAGCTAGGGTTACTCAGATCTCCTTTTGAGGTCAGGGGTTGAATCAGGGGTCACCATCAAGGCAGCACTTGACCAAATGGCACCAAAGGGTCTAGTAAAATTTTAGTCAATGGGAATTGAGGGAAAACCTCCCATTGCAAGAAGTCATACTTAGCACAAAAGCAAAATAATAGATTGGAAATCTGAAATAAAAACAGAAAATGCCAAAGTTTCAACAGAAAGGTAAAATCTCAGAGAAATATAGTTCAAATTTCAGGTCCATAACCAATCATAAGAACTGGAAAAAGATGGTGGTTGTGCGATGCCAATCATATCGACCATAGGACATCAGTACAGGACAGAGTTCCTCAGGGGAGTCTCCTGGCCCCAAATTCCTTCACTAGTTTCAACAATGATCTTCAGGGAATGAAGTAGTCTCTAAGGTTTTGGAGTAGTCTTTGCAAGCATATGGCAAAACCTGGACAACATTCAAGCTGGAGAAACATAGGAAAGAAGAAGTTTGTACTGTTAAGATTTGCATTGTACAAATGCTAGGCAAGTACCATTTCCAGCAAGAGAGTCTAACCATCTCCCCTTGAAAGTCAATGTCACTAACATCTGTGAATCCCAGACCATCAAAATCCTGGGGTCATTGTTTATCAGAAACTGAACTGGACAAGCCATATAAATACTGTACCTACAACAGCAGGTCAGAAGAAGGGAAATTCTGCAGCAAGTAACTCACCTCCTGACTCTCAAAATCCTGCCTAGCATCCATTAAGCACAATTCAGGGGTGTGGTGGAAAATTCCACATTTGTCTGGAAGAGTGCAGCTCCAACAACATTTAAGAACCTTCATCCAGACAAAGGAATCAACTTGAATGACTCCACCTTTAGTATTTACTCTCTTCACCAAGGACATACACAGTGGCAGCAATGTATACCATCTACACATATACTGCATCAATTCATTGCAGTTTCATCAACAGCATGTTCCAAACCTGCAGTTCTATTGCTTAGTATAAGAAAGGCATTGGGTCCAATGGAGCATGACCAACCTGTAAGTTCCCTTCCAAGACATGCATCATTCTGATTTGGGAAAGAAAGAATGGTCATTCCTTCGTTCTAGAATTGTCTCCTTATCAGCCCTATGGGTGTACTGACACCAGAGGACTGCAACAGCTCAACGCGACAGTTCATCATCACTTTCTCCAGCACAATCTTCACTGACATCCATATGCCACGAGCAAATCAAAAATAGTGAACGCTTTCACTGTCTGCCTTCTTATTTGATACTTAGGAAGGATTCACTCACTTAGTACATTATACATATCCTAAAAGGGAGTCAGTAGACTAATATTGCATTCAAGAAGCTCACAAGTTTAGCTAAACAGTACAGTCAAGCCCAACTTAAATAAATACTTAGTGAAAAATATAATCTTCAAGATAATTAAGTCTCTGTGCAACAATCTCTTTTCTATTTAATTCAATGGTCGCTGATACTTCTAAGTGAATAAGTTTTGTGGTGAGGTTTTTACAGTCTAAAAGCACAATGCAATTGTACCTACAACATTTGTTCTAATAAGGTCACTGGAAAATTAATTTTGCTGTATGTTCCTTAGATGCTGCCTCTGATCAGTTCCACCACGTTCTGTATTAATTTTGGATGTCTGGCAGTTGCCATATTTTACTTTTGTATATAAATTTAAGTTGCTGTTGTTTAAATGAATTGACAAAGCGTAGATTTAAGAGTTCACAACTTCACTAAAATCTTTTCAGTATAACAATCACTGTTCACAGGTGCTACCGTCTAGATGCAAGAACTGATACAAAATTTGGCAAAAGGCTGGATTCTTCTGACCACTTGGTGACATGTTGACTGGGAAATCTCTGGGGGGAGGGGGTGCAGTGGTGGCGGTGAGTGGGAATAGTACTGGATAGCACTCTTGACATTGGGGGCATCTCCCAGGGGTGGCTAGAAAAGCAGTTTTACTGCTACCACCTCAGAGGAGGAAGGCCAATTTACAGAATAGAGTCCCATTAAGGGGCCATTTTCTGAATTTGGTGACATTTTGCTGACAGGAGCAGGCTGGGTGCATAATGGAGATCGCATCTCCATCACAGCTTTGGTGGGAGTCTTTGGGGGACAGAGGGACCAGCCTCCCCAATGAAGGAGTTGGCTTTTGGCAAATTAGACCACGTCAATGACCACAACTATCCAGGGACAGGGTAATCCTCTCCACTCTCAAGTGTTTGCTGCTTTCTCCCCGCCCTGCTGAAACAATAGTATTTATCCCATTCTGAGGGTAACTCTGTGTTAGCTAACCCTCCTGTTAGTGCCTGTAGCATCGAGTGCCCAGTCAGTGTCAGTGGGGAGGCGATGGCCTAGTGGTATTATCGCTGGATTATTAATCCAGAGACCCAGATAACATTCTGGGGATCTGGGTTTGAAACCCGCCATGGCAGATGGTGGAATTTGAATTCAATAAAATACCTAGAATTAAGAGTCTAATGATGACCATGAACCCATTGTCAATTTTCAGGAAAAAACCCATCTGGTTCACTAATGTCCTTTAGGGAAGGAAACTGCCATCCTTACCTGGTCTGGCCTACATCTGACTCCAGACCCACAGCAATGTGGTTGACTCTGAACTGTCCTCTGGATAATTAGGGATAGGCAATAAATGCTGCCTAGCCTGTGATGCTCTCATCCCATGAAATGAGTTAAAAAATAAAATTGGATGGTTAGCATAGGAGGTGTTCAATTAGGAGGCTGTCTCTGATAGAATATCACTGGACTGTTAATCCTGAGACCCAGGTAATGTTCTGGGGACCTGGGTTCATATCCAGCCATGGCAGAAAAAAGCGGAATTTTAAGACTAAAAAATCTGGAATTTAGAGTCAAATGACGACCACAGATCCATTGTCAATTGTCAGGAAAAACCCATCTGGTTCACTAACGCCCTTTAGGAAAGAAGACTGCCATCCTTACCTGGTCTGGCCTACATGTGACTCCAAGCTCACAGCAATGTGATTGACTCTTAACTGCCCTCTGGGCAATTAAGGACAAGCAAAAAATGCTGCGCAGTCAGTGATGCCCTCATCCCATGAATGAATACAACAAAAATGTACCAGAGGGCATGCCACTTTCAGCAAGTAGAGGCTTGGGAACCCATTTAGTTCCAGCATTACGCTCCTCAAATCCAGGATAAAATTCTGCTCAAAAACTTTCACCTCGCCAAATTCTTGAACATTTCACAAGTCAACATGGTAAGAACTTTGGTTTACATGTGAAACCAGCTTCTTCTGGTGATAAAAGCTAAAAGCTTGGTTATATCTATTTTGACCGATGATTTAGCAACATACAAACCCTGTGCTGGGAACTCTTGTTGCAGAAGAAATGGAAAAGCCACTGCTATACAAGATAGAAAAAGCAAAATACCATGGATGCTGGAAATCTGAAACAACTCAGAATGCTGGAGAATCTCAGCAGGTCTGGCAACATCTGTGAAGACAGAAACAGTGTTAATGTTGAGTCTGGTATGATTCTTCATCAAAGCTGAAAGGTGTTAGAAAATGCTTTTTTCTTGTAGTACTTTTGACAGAGGCAGAAGCAAGAGGGCAGATGTTCAAGAGCCCAATGAAAAATAAAGGGGGTGTTAGGTGGAGAAAAAGCAAACAAAATGTAAAATGGGTATAAATTAATGTGAACAGGAGACAGCCCTTCTCCGAGATAAAAGCAAAATACTGCAGGTACTGGAGATCTGAAATAAAAACAGAAAGTGCTGGAGAAACTCACCAAGTTTGACAGCATCTGTGGAGACAGAAGCAGAATTAATGCTTTGAATCCGGTGTTAATCTTCTTCAGAACTTCTTTCACTTGTTAATTAGAAATAATTGCAATGGCAAGAGGGCCCAAAAATTCCCACTGTGGAGTATCTGGAGAGTTTGGCGCTTACAGACGTTTTAAGGAAGTCTTGTGGTGTTGTACTGTAATATTTTATGATGAAACAAATGGCATAAACACACTTTCAATTATCCAGGACTGTGGGGTTGCTCCAATTCCACTTTCACTCCAATGTTAGCAACTTGCCGAACATTATATGACAGTTAAAATATAAAATATAGAATTGTTCAGTGAAAGAAGTGACAAAAATCATATTCCGCTTGGGAACCCTGCAGCCCAATGGTATCAATGTGGATTTCACAAGCTTCAAAATCTCCCCTCCCCCTACCACATCCTAAAACCAGCCCAGCTCGTCCCCGCCTCCCTAACCTGTCCTTCCTCCCACCTATCCCCTCCTCCCACCTCAAGCCCCACCCCCATCTCCTACCTACTAACGTCATCCCGCCCCCTTGACCTGTCCGTCCTCCCTGGACTGACCTATCCCCTCCCTAACTCCCCACCTACACTTACCTTTACTGGCTCCATCCCCGCCTCTTTGACCTGTCTGTTTCCTCTCCACCTATCTTCTCCTCTATCCATCTTCTATCCGCCTCCCCCTCTCTCCCTATTTATTTCAGAACCCCCTTCCCCTCCCCCATTTCTGAAGAAGGGTCTAGGCCCGAAACGTCAGCTTTCCTGCTCCTCTGATGCTGCTTGGCCTGCTGTGTTCATCCAGCTCTACACCTTGTTATCTATGACAAAAATCATTATTCATTTATTAGTTTTATTTCTATGCTTCCTTAAACATAGACTGCTTCCTAAATCTCTGACTCTTCCTTGAAAAAGGTTAATGTGTTAAGAATCTATCTGGGACTTTTACTTGAATGTAACTATTTATCAATCCTCATTTTTGAAACTTCAAACTTCTGCCTGATTGCCAGTATGTGTCCATTCCTTTTGTTGCTAAAATTCTTTGATGTGAGTTTGTCACCTTCAATCCTGTTGATTCCAACATTAATTTCATTGACTGTCAAAGGGCTTCATAACCTCCATGGACTCGGAACTTCTCCAGAATTCTGCAGTTTGTGGCTAATCACACCGCACTAAGTCCTGCCTGCTCATCGCTCCCTTCCTCAGAAATCTGGCACTCTGAACTGTGTTGGCCTATAAACGGGGTTGCATTACCATGATGAGACCACCCCTTTGATGAAACAGTACTGAGTTTCCACCCGACACTTTGTTGACACAACGCTGATCGGGCTAATTTCCTTTCTGATATGTTACCAGCCTCAACGTTTTCTAACACCTCATTTAGAATGTTCAGATGTCATCAGCTGAAGGGAATCAGAATGAAAATACATTCCTGCAGCTCAAGTAGAAAAGGTAATGAGGATTGGAATGGTAAATTCTGTGTTCCACCTGCTGCAAATTTTATGCAGTCAATCTCCACAGGCTTTTATAAATATAACAAGGCAATAATTGCACAGCATCACATTTTGCATGCAGATGTCAGCTCTGCTACAGAGCACTGCCAAGATTAGAAAGGCCATACAATATAATGGGTTTCTGAATTGAACAGAAGAGCATCCTCCAGTGTAAGCACGGTTTTTTCAGGAAAAAGATGTTTCAATACAACTGAAGCCAATTTTAACTGTGACCACTTCATTATATTTCACTTCTGGTTCGCTTATTTTGCTCATATATGAGCTGCAGTAAATGTGTGCAAATGAGTAAAATTGTTGGAAAGGTCCCCAGAATTTAGTTGTACTGTTGCTGGTGCTAACAAGTATAGTGGGCTTAGCAAGTTGTCCCACCATGTCAGACTTAGAAAGTAGAATAGCCCTGGCCAGAGGTCATTTCTAATGATTCACCGACAGACTCCAATGAAAACATTGGTCACTTATGACAGACTGTGGATGAGGAAACATCCAATACAATGCAACAGGATATCTGCTTGAAAATGGAGAGAGATTGCTGGGCCAAGGGGATACAGCAGTGGACTGTGACTAATTGGTTGGTTCTGTCACAGAGCTAGCACAGGTATAATGACCTCCTTCTGTTCTGTCAGATTATGTAAAACACAACTGCAAAATAACTCAAAAAGGCAGCAAATTATATTCTATCCTCACGGCATAGGAGACTGTAATAGTGACAGCAGTACCATTAACCAGCAGTCTCTTCCTGAACTAAAGTGGCATATTTTGTAAATTTAGGAGTCACCTTTTTAAGACAGAGAGAGGAAAGGAAATTTTTCTTCTCTCATAACGTTGTGCATGTATGGAACTCTCTGACTCACAAGGCGATAGAGGTGCATTTTCAAGGACAGCTTCTTGCTAGGCAGGGGAAACAAAGGTTATTGGGCTACTTGGGAAGTGGAATTGCAATCATAATCTGATCAGCCATGATTGTATTGAATAGCAGAGCAAGGTTAAATGTCTCACTTCTGCTCTTAATTCATCAGTTAGAGACAAGAGAATCACATCGAACCTTCAAGGATTACAGAAGCTTGTTGTGCAGAGTATTAATCTTTACCTTATTTAAGGCAGGTTGTAAAAGCTATGGAGGCAGTTCAGAAAAGGTTAACCAGACAAAAAAAACTGGAATGTGTGGGTTTCCTTATGAGGGAAGACCGGTCAGCTGGACTGGTGTCCATTGGAGTTTAAAAGAGTAAACGTTGACTTGAGAAAGAGTTGACATATACTTTTGAAGGATCCTGATAGCACAGATGTGGACGGGATGTTTCCACTTATGGGAGAATCTAGAACATGGTACTAGTGTTTAAAAATCAGGGATCATTCATTTAACACCAAAATGAGGCAAAACTTATTCTTTGGGACTACTAACTCTTGTAAAGGTGGTGGAAGCTGAGTCCTTGAATATTTTTAAGGCCGAGATAGATAGGTTCTTGTGAAGTAAAGGAGTGAAAGGTTATCAGGGTAGGCAGGAATATGGATTTGAGGTTACAATCAGATCAGCCATGAACTTATTGAATGGTGGAACCTGAGGGGCTGAATGGCTTTCTCTTGAGTCATACGTTTGTGTAGCTGCCAACTAAAAAATACATTAACCTGAAAAATCCACGAGGAAACGTGAGGCACAAAGTCAACAACCCAAGATTCTGAATCCATCCACATTTCGTTTCCTGGGCAATTCAACATAACATTTCCCCATAGCAAAGGTCTGTGAGGTGGTTCTTCTTCAACTCTTTGACCAGGGAATATTTTACAAAATGAATCACACCCAACTCCATTGAGAATTGCATTTTCCCAAGCTAAAAATACAGAGTTGAAATGCATGCAACTGCTTTTATGGGTTAAAATTATATACTCAATACTTCATTGCAAGCACACAACCTTTTATTCATGTGGGGATTGCTGTTGTCCATCCCTTGAAGTGAAGAAGAAGAGCTGGATACTCTCTCTAACTAGAGTCATTTCATACACTGGCCACTCCGGAGCAATGGACTATTTGGCACAGGTGCTCTTCACACTCCGAAACAGGGTTTTAAAACAAAACCAACAATGGAATAAATTCACTGTACATGTGGCTCTGATTTCAACACTTCTACAAAAATATGTTGGAGTACTGTAATCAGAAGTGAAACAATGAAACAGTTAACTATTCAATCCATACAGTTAACTATGAACACTGATGCCCCTTGACCAATTCCTACCTCTTTAAATATAGAAAACATGGTGCTGATCTCAACGTTGGCTTTTCCCATACCTTGTAAACTGAGGTTGTCTGGATCATTCAGGTTATCAAAGAGCGGTGTGTAGTCTCCGTAGAATTCGGAATAACCACCCATTTCATCACCTCGGACAGAACCAACAGATGAGGAGGAGTGCACAGAGGACTGGGATTGGCTTAGCCTTGCACAGGTGACCAAATTGCTCATGTTCACTTTCAGATTGTTTGTACCTTCTTGTGGACGGATGTCTTTCTGGCGACCATTTTCATTCTCCGTATGTGGTGTCTGCAAGGCTTCTTTCCCTGAATCTTTGTCATCTTCAAGAAAACAAAGAGAAACCTTGTGTATTTTGAGACAATATTTTCCACTTGACATGTAGCTTTATTATGATTTCATCTTGTTTTTGTGACATTTTGACATGTTTTTTTGGTGGGGCAAGAGGGGATTGAGTATTTATGGGTCACAGTGACACAAGATCATATTGCACTCATTAAGCCCTCACAAACAGTAGTAAGGTAAGTGGTCAGATAACAACTTTTAAAGTGAGGGATAAATGTTGCACCTAACACCAAGGGAATGGTCCCTGTTTCTATTCACAATCTTTTGTGTGTGCTAGAGAGGACACACACATCCTTGGTTTCATCTGAAAGAGAGCGCTACTGACAGTGTAGCATTCTCTCAGTGCTGAATTTCCAGCCTACACTCTATGCCTATTTCTCTGGAATGGATTTAGCACTTGCAACCTTCAGACTTAGAGTTATTTGTGGTACAAGAGTCAAGTATCAGACCAGATACATTCATTATTCCGATATGCAACTCCAATGAATTTATGTACTTTTTATGCACATTTATGTTGACCTTTAACTATCTTAGAGGGTATCTAAAGGGCAGCATGGTGGCACAGTGGTTAGCACTGCTGCCTCACAGCACAAGGGTCACGGGTTCGAATCTAGCCTTGAGTGACCTTGTCAGTGGAGCTTGCACGTTCTCCCTGGGTTTGCGTGGGTTTCCACCGGATGCTCTGGTTTCCTTCCACAGTCCAAAGATGTGCAGGTTAGGTGGCTTGGCTATGCTAAATTGCCCATAGTGTCCAGGGATGTGCAGGTTAGGTGGATTAGCCATGGGAAATGTGAGGTTATGGTGGTGGGGGAGTTTGGGTTGGGGTCTGGGTGAGATGCTCTTCAGAGACTTCGTGCAGACTTGATGGACTAAATGGTCTCTATCTGCACTGTCGGGATCCTGTGATAATCTCAATGAAAAGTGTCCTGGGGCATTATTCAAAAGAGTACCTTACTCCTCCAAAAAAGGTTTTCGACTTCTCCAAAGAACTTCGGCATGTTTAGACCTGCCCCTGGTGGGTCTAAAATACACACGTGTTTTAGACTTCCTACTCTCAAAAATTAGAACTGAATGGATTGAATGCAGCTGCACTTTTAACATGTGCATATCATAACCTACTCCTGCTTCCTCCTTCACCTTGCAAAAAGGGGAATCAAGGTTTTGAAAAGATTTGTCAACCTTGGCCTGTTGATGCATTTGTTGACTTGCTCACTGAGCTGGTGTGCAGATGTTTTGTCACCATACTAGGTAACATCGTCAGTGTGCCTCCGGTGAAGCGTCGGTGTTCTGTCCCGCTAGTTATTTGTGTTTCGGTTTGCTGGGGTGGGTGGCATCATTTCCAAGTTTGTTTCTTAGTGGTTGGTATATAGGGTCCAGCTCTACATGTTTGTTAGTAGAGTTCCGGTTTGAGTGCCAGGCCTTCAGGAATTCTTGTGTGTGTCTTTGCTTGGTTTGTCCTAGGATGGCTACATTGTCCCAGTCAAATTGGTGTCCCTCTTTGTCCAAGTGTACTGAAATAAGTGATAGTTGGTCATATCTCTTGGTAGCTATTTGGTGTTTGTGAATCCTGAAGCTAGCTTCCTTCTGGTTTGCCCTATATAATGTTTTTGGCAGGCTTTGCATGGTATCTTGTAAATAATGTTGGTTCTGTTAGTTGCGGTTGTCAGATCCTTTATTCTCGTCAGTAGCTGCTGGCTTGTGGGCTACCATGATCCATAGGGGGCAGAGTAATCTGGTGGTCATTTCAGATATGTCCTTAATGTATGGTAGGGTGACTAGTGTCTCTGGACATGTTGTGCCTTCCGGTTGTGGTCTGCTGTTTAGGTATCGACAGACTACGCTTTTCAGGTAATCGTTGTTTCTAAACGCGCTGTATTGGTTTTCTTCCTCGACTTTGTGTAGCTCCAGGATGCTGCAGTGTGTTGTATCTTGCTTGAACAGTGTTTTGATACAGCTCTGTTTGTGGGTATTGAGATGATGGCTATTGTAGTTGAGTACCTGATCTGTACGGGTAGCCTTCCTGTGTATGCTGGTCTGGAGCTCACCATTGGCCTTACGTTTGACCATTATGTCCAGGAATGGAAGTCTGTTGGTTTCTCCTCTCCCCTGGTGAATCTTATGCCGGTGATGATGTTGTTTATGAGTAGACGGGTTTCCTCCAGTTTAGAGCATGTGATAATGACAAAGGTGTTATCCACATAATGGATCCATAGTTTTGGTTGGATGGCAGGAAGGGCTGTCATTCCACACAATAACAGCTACTGACGAGAATAAAGGATCCAACAACCTCAACCAACAGGACCTACGTTATTTACAAGATAACATGCAAAGCCTGCCAAAGACATTATATAGGGCAAACCAGAAGGAAACTAGCCTCAGGGTTCACGAACACCAACTAGCTACCAAGAGACATGACCAACTATCACTCTTTTCAATACACACGGACAAAGAGGGAACACCAATTCGACTGGGACAATGTAGCCATCCCAGGACAAGCCAAGCAAAGACACACACAAGAATTCCTGGAGGACTGGCATTCAAACCGCAACTCCATTAACAAACACATAGAGCTTGACTCCATATACCAACCACTAAGAAACAATCCCGGAAATGATGAAATGATGCCACCCACCCTAGCAAACCGAGACACATAAATAACAAGCAGGACAGAACACTGACGCTTCGCTGGAGGTGCGCTGATGATGTTACCCAGTATGGTGACAAAACATCTGCAAACAAACTCACCAGCTCAGTGGGCAAGTCAGCAACTGCATGGTAGGGGCATGTCTGGGACAGGACCCACAGATCCAGCACTCCAAAAGCAATTTCCTTCTCCCTGAACAAACCTTCAGGCCTTAGATAGCTGTGGACAAATTAGTATCTATATCACCATCATCAAGATGATGGAGAGGTTTCACAGAAGGAGAAAGTATTCAGGGGATAAAATATAAATTTAAAGCTGGTCTAATATACAGTCAAGGCTGGACTTCCCCCTAGTTAACTTAATTCTTCACATAGCACCTTTGAACATTTTTCTGCAGGGAAGATGATCTATAAATGGATGTTGCAGATTCAATCTGGAAGTCATCTGGCTACTTACAACTATCTTTGTTTCAACAAGATGCCATGTAACTGTTATTACCAAACTGAGATTAAATGTAATGCATTAACCAATCGACAAGGAAAAACGTTTCCCATTTGTTCTTTCATATTTACCTATGTCACTGTTCTCCAATGACTGATCTTCTTCAGAAACCTTCAGAAACACCTCCTCCAGTGTGGTGTCCATCAAACCGAAACTAGTCAAATTCAGATCCTCCAGGTTCAGATCCAGGGCCTATCAAGGAAAACGATCATTTCAACTTACCTAGTCTTCTAAGTTCTAAAACAATAACGCAGCCGAGATATAAAAGGTAACATCCCACACAGGTCTTGGAGACATCCACTGTATAAGCAAAGTATCACCAGTGTATGGCCAATCTCACCCACTCCAACCTGCAGTGCTATTGGACTACATCAATGTTCAAAATGGAAGGAATGCAAACCAATTATATTACTTCTGTAAGGTTCGTCCTCCAGCCTTACCGACCCTTGATTTAGTACGTGACCACTTTATACCTCGTTTAATTGATGTTCTCAGGTGACTCAAGCTTGTCCTGATCAAAATTAGATTCAAGTTCCAAAGGATGGAGAAGTCCAGAAGCGTATCAATATGAGCTTAGTATTACTGCCGCAGATCACAGGGCCACCACAGTGCATTACAGCAAGGCGTCTATTTAAACAGTGCATTACAGCATCCATTAAACAGTGACCACAGCTAACAGTCTGTTTAAATAGGGAGTTTTAGCCAATGTCTAGTCCAAACGGATGTTATATTACTAGACTTGTGTTGCAGTACCTCAGACGACTGAACTGGAGTTTTCAGTTAAAATTCTGCCACGGCAGTGGAAAATTTAAAATTCAGTTAATTTAGTATCTCTGGAATAAGAAAAAAGCAAGTGTCAGCTATCATGGCCACGAATCTGCCAAACTGGTGTAAAAACACAACTAGGTCTTCAGCAGGTCTGACCTATGAATGACTCAGAGTAGAACATGTGACAGAATCTGAATCTTGGAGGTCGGTAAGTAAGGTTGGGGGGTGGGGGTGGGAAGTGTTCATTCTGATTTACAGCATCCGCAATTCTTTCGGTTTTTATTGTGTTCCTTCTTTTCCTAACTTTATCACAGTCTGGAGAGCAGGTGCTGGAAAGGTGTTTCACTCGGTGAACATTCAACCACATTTACTAAAAATGGTGACATCGCAGAAAAATGGATAAGCAATTGGTGAGAATTTTACTCATTCATTCTATTTTTCAAAAAGGTCAGTAAATTTACTTGTAGTTGTTAGACTTCATTAGTATTTAAGTTTACCAGTGATAATAAAGCTTATTGGGAGTATTTGGATTCATTCATTATGAATTAATAAATTAAACTAAGTCACATTATAGATGACAGGGAGGTGATGTGTTGTGACTGCAGAATGTGGGAGCTTCTTAATGCCAGTGTGACCCAGGGCAAACATGTTTGCAGTAAGAGTTGCCTGTGCGTGGAACTTTGACTCAAAAGTTATGAGCTGGAGGCTAAGATGCAGACAATGTAATGCATCAGGAAGGGTGAAAGTTAGCTGTTGAATTCATTCCAAAAGGCACTCATACTGTTTAGCTTAGGATCTTTAGATTTGATTAGAGTTCAGGAATAGGAGAGTGTGATTGTAAGTGAGGCAGGTATGGGGATTCAGGAGGTGCAAGAACCTCAGCCTTTGCAACTGTCCAACAGGCTTTTTTTTATAAGTTCATTTGTGGGTGTCAATGGCTTGGTCCAGCACTTATTGCCCATCCCTAGATGCCCTTGAGGAGGTGGTGATGAGCTGACTTTTTGAACAACTGCAGTTCTACTGTAGTGGGTTGACCCACAATGCCATTTGAAAAGGAATTCCAGGATTTTGACCCAGTGACAATGAAGAAACAGTCATATATTTCTAATGGTGAGTGATTTGGAGGGGAACTTGCAGGTGGTGATGACCCCATGTATCTGCTGCCCGTGTCCTTCTAGGTGGAAGTAGTCGTGACTTTGGAAGGTGCTGGCTGAGGATCTTTGGTGAATTTTTGCAGTGCATCTTGCAGACAGTACACACTGCTGCTCCTCAGGGTCAGTGGTGGATGCTTGTGGATATGGTGCCAATCAAGCGGGCTGCTTTGTTCTGGATGGTATCAAGCTTCTTGAGTGTTGTTGGAGCTGCACCCATCCAGGCAAGTGGGGAGTACTCCATCACACTCCTGATTTATGCCTTGTAAATGTTGGACAGGCTTTGGGAGTCAGGAGGAAAGTTACTTGCTACAGTATTTATAACCTCTGACCTGCTCTTGCGGCCACTGTGCCTATGTAGCGAGTCCAGTTGACTTTCTGGTCAATAGTAACCCGCAGGATGTTGACTGTAAGGGATTCAGTGATGGTAACGCCATTGATGTCAGAGGGTGGTGGTTAGATTGTCTCTTATTGGTGATGGTAATAGCTTGACATTTGTGTGGCATGAATGTCACTTGCCACTTGTCAGCGCAAGCTTGGATATTGTCCAAATCTTGTTGCATTTGAACATGGACTGCTTCAGTATCTGAGGAGTTGTGAATGGTGCTCAAAATTGTGCAATCATCAGCAAACATCCCACTTCTGACCTTATGATGGAGGGAAAATCATAGATGAAGCAGCTGAAGATGGTTGGGCCAAGGACACTACCCTGAGGAACTCCCGCAGAGATGTCCTGGAGCTGAGGTGACCCACCAAAAACCACAACCATCTTCCTATGTGTCAGGTATGATTGCAACAAGTGAAGAGCTTGCCTCAGATTCTCATTGATATCAGTGATACAAGTGGCTCCTTGGATACCACACCCAGTTGAATGCAGCCTTGATGTCAAGGGCTGTCACTCTCACCTCACCTCTGGAATTCAGCTCTTTCGTCCATGTTTGAACCAAGGCTGTAATGAGATCAGGAGCTGAGTGGTTCTGGCAAAACCCAAACTGGGCATCACTGAGCAGGTTATTGCTGAGCACGCGCTGCTTGATAGCACTGTTGATGACACCTTCCATCACTTTACTGATGATCGAGAGTAAACTGATGGGGTAGTTGTTAGCCGTAATTGTATTGATCCTGCTTTTTGTATACAGGACATACTTGGGCAATTTTCCACATTGTCGAGTAAACGCTGGTTTGTTACAGTTGGCAAGGATGAAAATGGTAGCTGCAGGATAGATGAGCAAACTGACCATTGCATCATACAGGAAATCATTCAAGCAGAGCAGTTTATAAAAATTTAGTTGTAATAGGGACGACACAGTCAGAGCAGCTAGATATGCTTCTCTGCAGCCAATAACAAGAGTCCAGGCATTTGCATTGCCAACCTAGTGCCAAGGCTCAGGATATCTGCTCTGGACTACAGAAGGATTTGCAATGGTATGGGGAGGATCCAACGGTTATGATCCACTTAGGTACCAACAACATTGGCAGGACTGATAAAGAGCATCTCCTAAAGGAATAAAAAAAAAAGTAGGGACTAAATTTAAAAGAAAAACCTCAAATGGTAAGAGTCTTTGAATTCGTAACTAAGCCACAAACGAATAAATACAAGGTAAATAAGTTTAGAGAAATTAACCAGTGGCTTAAAGGCTGGTCTAAGAGAAATAGTTCCTGGCCCCACCACTGGGTAAAATGGGACGTGTACAGCTGGGTCAGCCTACACCTGAACCTTTCTGGGACAAGTGTTCTGGCGAATCGTATAACTAGGGCAGTAGAGTGGGCTTTAAACTAAATAATGAGGGGAAGGGATCAACTGGGATGGTGTTATCGCTGTGGTAGTAATTCAGAATTCTTTAGGTTTGTGGGAATAAATCCCAGCCTGACAGATGGCAAAATTCAAATCCAATAAAATCTGGAATCAACAAAGCAGTTCAATGTAACCAGTCAATTATTGTAAAAACCCATCTGGTTCTCTAATGGCCTTTATGGAAGAAAATCTGCCATCCTTACCCAGTCTGATTTATATGTGACTCTGACTCCAGCAATGTGGTTGATTCTTAACTGCACTCTGGAACAGCTGAGAGAGCCAATCAATCCAAGGGCAATTATGGATGGGGTAAAAGTTGGTGGTTTTGTCAGCGATGCCAACATCCCATGAAAGAACAACAAAAGTGAAGGGAAATATGGTAAAGGGGAAAATAACAAAGCAACTTAGGTAATGATTGCCAGAACGTAACAGGAAGGGACAGAACATATGAACACAAGAACGCATCGGCAGATAAAAGCCATAAAGTTCAAGGCCCTTGCCAACATTTTAATAAATGGAATGAATTGCTAGCATAAATGAAAACATAAAAGTATGACTTGATAGACATTACAGTGGCATGACTGAATGATGACCAGGTCTGCAATCTGAATGTAGATGGGTATTTGCCATTTTAGGACAACAGAAAGTTGGGAAAAGGCGATGTTGTAACTTTGTTAATTAAGGAAGGCATGTGTTCAATTCTGAGAAATGACCTTAACTTGAAAGAGTCAGTTCAGATAGAAATAAACAAAATATTAAAGGTAAGAGGTCCCTTGTGGGTGTACGTTTATAGGCCTTCTAACAGTAGTTATACCATTGGACTGAGCGTACAGAAAGAAATAAATGGGGCATTTAAAAAACATACACAAATAATCATGCTGACTTTAAAGAATATCTAAAAAGATAATAAATAGGCAGATAGCAGAGCACAGAGAAAGCTAGTGAGTGATATACAAATAGACAGTACGGTTTCTATAAGTATTTGAATGAGAAAAGAATAATTAAAGCTAGTATTGGCCCTCAAGAGAAAGAGTCCAGGGAACTGGAAATTGAAAACAGAGAAAGGGCAGAGGTGTTGATAACGTACTCCTGAGTTTCTTTTGTGGGGCTGGCAAGCTGTAAACAGTGGACTGCCTCAATTGGCATCTTGGTCACTAACTATTTATAATCAATATCAATAATCTGGATTAGAGGATCAAATATATGCCAACTAAATTAGCCAATGACATCAATCCAAGCAGGAAGGTCAATTGTCAGGAAGAGGCAGATGGCTACAAAAGGATATAGATAGTTTAAGTGGGTGGGCAAAAGTTCTGGTAGATGGAGTATAATATAGATAAATGTGGACTTGATTACTTTGGCAGAAAGAATGGAAAAGCAGTATATGACTTCAATAGAGAAAGACTGGAGGACTTGGTGGTTTGGAAAGAACTGGGTGTCCAAGTACACAAATCAATGAAAGTTAACATGCAAATATAGCAAGTGATACGGAAGACAAATGTTCATTGTAAGAAAATAAGAACGGAGAAGATTCACTGCAGCTATACAGGACATTCATGAGACCACATAGAGTCTTGAGTCATACAGCATGGAAACATAGCCTTTGGTCAAACCAGTCCATGCCAAACATAGTCGCAAAATAAATTAATCCCACCTGCCTGCTCCTGGCCACATCCCTCCAACATCTGCTGCACTGTGCACAGTTTAATCCTAAACTAAACCTACCTGCTCCTGGCCCACATTTCTCCAACATCTGTAGCACTGTGTACAGTTCTGGTCTTATTTGAGAAAGGATATAATTGCTTTGGAAGCAATTCAGAGAAGGTTCACTTTAATCACTCCTGGGACAAAGGGCTTAGCTTAAGTGGAAGATTTGAAAATATCCTCTTAGAAGAACAAGAAGTGATCTTATTGAAGCATAAAAAAATCTTGATAGGTGCTGGATATTCAAAAAATATCAAAGAGACTGTAACTAGGAGGAATTGTTTGAGATAAAAGGTTTCCCTGTTAATCCAGAGATGAGGAGAATTATTTCCTCTCAGAAAGCCGTCAGAGTGTACAATTCTGTGCCCAGAAGATAAAGGAGGCTGGATCTCTCAGTTGATTAAAGGTTGATTCAAGGCTAAGTTAGACAGATTATTGATAGACAAGGGAGTTAAGGATGATGGTATACATAGAGCTGAGACCACAGTCACATGTATTATGATTTTTTTGAATGGTGGAGTAGGCTGAAAGAGCTACTCCTGCTCCAATATTCCTCTTAGCAGTGTGGTTGCCTCTTTCTTACTTTCTGGAATGACCCAGCAAGCCACTCATGTGTTTCCAATGTGGCAGCTCAGCTGTGATTAAGGATTGTCAATAAATGCTGGTCTCACCAGTGATGTGTTCATTCAGTGTATGAATTTTAAAAAGTAAAATGGGGAAAGGAGAAAAAAATGGTCTGGAAAATTGTTGTCCCATCCTCCCCATGCAGTAAATGCCAGTTCAGGAAAGAACATAGACCAAGTGTTCTCTACAATGACAACGTACCTTCCTATTACTATAACAATGATAAGGTGGAGTCATCATTACCTGGAAAAGCCTTTCAAAGCATCCTTTCTTCACAGCTTCTGATGGCAGGATGTAGGAAATCTCTGTGTTGGTGTCTGAGACGAGGATGGTGGACACAACGTATTTTTTAATAAACTGGCTGACCTTGGTCTCCAAACAGGGAGAGCCCGATGAAGGGCTGAGATCTTGGCCAGAATCTAAAACAGACAAAATGGAGAACGAACATCTAATGCATTACAAACCTTCTGGATACCAAGTCCTCACTTACAGCTGTGATTGTGTTCATGAAAAATTATTTCAAGTGCAGCAATGTCAAAACTGGAGTCAGGCTCTTTCAAACCTTTCTTACCGGAAAATAAACATTAGAACCTTAGAATCTGTATGTTGAAATACATTACATTGCTAAATTCCTACAATGGTTAACCCATTTCTTTGAAATGCTCCAACTCACCACTTTCCCCTCGAGAATCCTTGCTGTGAGTGGCAAGAGGCAGGAAGGGAAGGTTTCAGAGTTGAATTTAAAAACAAAACATTGACAGGAACAGCCCAATTCAGCTCTTCTGCAACACTGGAAACATGGGTTTCAGAGATGCAAGTGGTGAGACAGTGGTCAAGGGGCAGGAGGTTCAGTGACGGGGGTGGGGGTGAGGGATGGGAGAATTAGAAATAGAATTAGATTTTATTGTAATGCGTACTCAAGTACAGGGATACGGGAGTACAGTGAAAAGTGTATAACATCCCTATTCCCAATGCCATCTTATGTACAAGTATAACAGTTTAGGTATAAAGTAGAAAAATAAAGAAACAAAGTTAAAAATTCAACATTACAGTCCATCAGCTTAGCCATGGTCCTGGATCCAGCTGCAAGTCAGAAAGTGGATTGAAGGAGGAGTAGTCATAAGTCGAGATAAGTCGGGGAGAGAGAAGGGACTGCAGGTTGGAGAGTCTGGGAAGGGGAAGAGACCCAAAGTTAGACATTCAGGGAATGGAAAATAGGCCATCGATCAGAGGGTCAGGCATGGGACTGTGTGGTAGTTGCTGCTCCAAAATAGCACCAATCAGTTCACACAGGAAATTACAAAATGTATCTTGTAATGCTCATTGGAGTTTTTGAGAAGATTTGTAGCTTGGTTTGTGGATGAGGTTGTAGACATGTTCGCCAAGCTGGTGGGTTTGGTTGCAAACATTTCATCATCCCGCTAGGTAACACTGTCCGTGCGCCTCCAGTGAAGCTTCACTAGATAGGCACACTGACCATGTTACCTAGCACGGTGACAAACCGTTTGCAACCAAACCCACTGGCTTGGCGAGCAGGTCTACAACCTCATGCTCATTGCAATTACAGGCTCCAGCAAGGGGGACCTAATGCTGATGCCCTTGGTCCATGTGTTACTTCCCACATCACACAAGGATGATAACAATTCTAGCCGTATTTTAACCTTTAGATGAAAAAATACATCCTGGTTTTGTTTTATATACCTCATGCACAGGCTGATTCAAGTTTTTGAGTGATAGTAGGGCTAAATGAGGGATTTGTGGAATAGGTGGTCAGGATGAGAATCAAGGAATGGCGACACAAGGACGCAGGGCAGAGCAACTGTTCCTGCTTGAGAAAGGATTAAGAACCAGAGGGTACAGTTTATAAAGTGCTTTGCAAAACAACCAAACATGAGATGGGGAGAAAAAGTAGTTTATGCAGCAAGTAGGTAGGATCTGGAGTGCATGTCTCGAAGTATGTTGGAGATGAACTAAATTGAGGCATTAAAGGGGGCAATAGATGATCACTTCAATAGAAATAATGTGTAGGGCCACAGGGAAAAGGCAGCATAGAGTCATACAGTGCAGAAACATAGTCCAACCACTCCATGCCGACCATAATCCCACTTGTCTGTGACTGGTCCATATCCCTCCAAACATTTCTTATTCATGTACTTATCTAAATGTCTTTTAAATGTTGTAACTGTACCCATGTCCACCACTTCCTCTGGAAGTTCATTCCACACGCGAACCACTGTGTAAAAAAAAAAAAAAACTGCCCCATGTCTTCTTTAAACCTTTCTCCTCTCACCTTAAAATTATGCCTCCTAGTCTTGAAATCACCCAACTCAGGAAAAATACAACGGCCATTCACCTTACCTATACTCCTCGTTATTTTATAAACCTCTACCCCTCAACCTCCTACACTCCAGTGAAAAATGTCCCAGCCTATCCAGCCTTTCCTTACCACTCAATCCCTCACACCAAGTCACTGACTGGCCTCTATTTGCATTAAATTTTGTGATTCGATGATAACGTGCTCGAATGGGCTCAGTTAAAATAATTTATAAAGTAAGTCTGCGTCCCTTTAACAGGCTATCGCTAGTTAACTTCGGTGAGTTTTAGTCGGTCATTTCATATCAGTATAAAGAGAGCCTACTTGGACACTGGCTTAGCAGGCAGGAGGCAAAGAGATGCATTCTGTGAATGAACCTGCATCAAGAAAAGGATATGTCTCTAACTTCACCCTTCACTAGCAGGCTTGGAGCATATAAATGTGCAGAATTCAGTTGCGTACCTGGGCTAGTTTGAGAGTCAGGCTGCTTTTTCACCACAGTTAGCTTGTAGCCGTCCCCGTAGGTGCTTTTGAGGAACAGAGGTGACCCGCAGCACTTCAGCTTCCCATGTGAGATGATTGCAATGCGATCTCCCAGAAGATCAGCTTCGTCCATGTAATGTGTGGACAGAAGGATTGTCCGGCCTGCGGTTATTAGAAAGTTAAATTCGTAACACAGCAAAAAATGAATTTTCTTTTGAGTGCTCTGCTTGGGATTTCTTTTCAGTGCCAGTTTTTTTTTCCCTGTTTTCAGGGGATCCCTTTTCATTCTCACTAACTTGACCAGTGACAAATGGAGTATCACTCAAATACTTGAAGAGGTACAATACATCCACATCGATACTATAGTTGAGAAAGGACACCAAACACCTCTACTTCCTCAGAAGGCTAAGTAAGTTTGGCATGTCTTAAATGACTCTTTCCAATTTTTATAGATGCACCACAAAAAGCATCCTATTCAGATTCGTCATAGCTTGGTATGTCAGCTGCTCTGCCCAAGGCCGCAAAAAATTACACAGGATTGTGAACGCAGCCTAGCCCATCACGTACACCAGCCTTCCTTCCACGGACTCTGTCTACACTTCTCACTGCCTCGGGAAAGCAGCCAACATAATCAAAAGCCCGTCCCATCCTGGTTATACTCTCTACCATCGGGCAGTACCAACAGATTCAAGAACAGCTTCTTCACTGCTGTTATCAGACTTATGAACAGACCTCTCATTTATTAGAGCTGATCTTTCTCTGCACCTGTAACACTATATTCTGCATGCTGTTCTACTATTACCCTGATGTGCTTGTATAAGGTATGATTTGTCTGGATAGTATGCAGAACAGTACTTTTCACTGCATCCCGTACATGTGACAATAAAAAGCCAAACCAAATCAAATCAAATCAAGTACAGGCAAACAAAAATCTGCATCAACTTTAGCATGCTGATGGTTGTACCAATAGTGATATACTGTGGGATATGGCAATACTGCACACTGAGCAATGTACCAGCGAGCTGCTGGAACCATTATCTACCTCTTCATTGTCTCTTGATTCAATTATTCCAATGTTTTCCTTGCCAGTTTTTCTCCCCACGGACTTTTGAGTTTATCCAAAACCCTGCAGGCTGTAGTCTAGTTTGTGAAATGTGCACCTAATCCATCATCCTGTGGTCACAGATTGACATCGGCTCCCAGTCAGGGTCTATTTCAGTCTTAAAATTTCCACTTTTGCCTTCAAATCTGCCCATTACCTTGCTGGTGCCAAAGAAGACCGACGGTGTATTAGGGCTTAATGCAATATTGGTGTACCATGGAATATACGAATATCAGCATACAGGGACACGCCCAGTTTGTTATGAGTACTGTGCGTCATACCAAACTACATCAGATTTGATTTCCTCAGTTATTTTCTGTCTTGCTAATGACTTTTCAGTTTGCTGCCATTCTGTTTGGCTCTTACTCAGATCATAGCCAGTCATGAATTATTCAGTTCATTAGCATTAAGCATTTACTCACCTTGTTTGTACTTCAGGATTAGGTCCCAGATTGCTCGCCGAGCATATGGATCAACCCCGGCTGTGGGCTCATCTAAAATAACTGCTTTGGATCCTCCAACAAATGCAATGGCAACAGATAGTTTGCGTTTCATTCCACCAGATAGTGTCTGCACCAGAGAATGCCGCTTATTGGAGAGTTCTAAGTCTTCGATCATTCTAAGCATGGAATAAACAGTGGGTAAAACAAAATTATAAGCATTCAAATATGAACCAGACTCTTAGTTTTCTGCTAACATTCACTTCATCAACTTCAGGCGCAGAAACACAGAGTGCACAACAAGTTTTGTAGGTGACACAAAATTAAAATTGACAAAGAAGGGGAAAGTAAATTAAATTTCTGATATGCAGCACATCAAAGAGTAAAGTTCAATCAGAGAAGACAGTACAGTGGCTACTGGTATCGGTGTTAGAAATGCAGATCACTGTGAGCAAACAGACCAACCCTACTGGGACCACATGATGCTCATTCGACTTTGTATTTTAGAGCTGGGTATGAAGGGCTGTTGTGACGCAGTGGTAGTGTCCCTACTCTGGACTGGGAGACCAGGTTCCACCTGCTCCAGAGGTGTGCAATAACATCTCTGAACAGATTGATTAGAAAAATTGGTTAAATAACAAAAGAACCTGGGTACTAAGGACTCTTGAGACACAGTTGGTAGTGTTACTACTTCTGGCCAGGAGGCCTGGGGGCAAATCTCACCTACTCCAGGAAATAATTTAACATGTCTCAACAGTTTGTTTTAAGAAAAATAATCTGGATACTTTTCAGGGGAAAGTGGGTACCATTGGAGCTAGAGTATGCTACTTCTCCCACCAACTCCATTTTGATTTAGTCCCCTCCCTCGTTTCCTCCCCTTTTTGATTTTCCTTATGGCCACACTGCCCTGGTGGGTAGTGTTTGTTGTGGGTTAATTGGATAATTTGAAAATTTAAACTTGGTCAGTGCTGGGTACTTCCCCACTGGGGAGTTAGCTTTTTTGTCGTGGAAATGGGCTGGAAGGAAAAGGTGGAAACAGGGCTTTGTACTCAACTGTAGATTTACAATAAAACCCTTGAAAACGTCAAGCCTTTTGCTACCTCATTCAGCAGAAATTTCATACTCTTAAACAAGTTGGTCAAGTAAGAGGAAAAAACGAAGTATTCAAAGAGTTAACATTTGTCCCATTTTGGTCTGTAAACACCTGTAAGTTAGGGTTGTAACCAGATGGTTCCAGGTGATTTCTTGTTTTAACTGCTTGAACTCATGTCAGCAAAAGCACTTGACTACTTTACAAGTGTGGTTTATGGCTGTTATGTTTGAACAGTATTTTGTGGGTTTGGGGATGGTTTTGGATTTCTGTTCGTCTTAGTCTCCTGTTTCTGAAGCATCTTAGTTATGAAATTGGGTTGCCCTCTCGAAGAACATCTGAAAGAACCATTGGTACAACATTTGCTAGAGAACATGCATCTGCCAAGACAGGATCACAGAGTTATAGAGGAAACAGACCTTTCATTCAGGGATAACAAGGTGTAGAGCTGGATGAACACAGCAGGCCAAGCAGCATCAAAGGAGCAGGAAGGCTGACATTTCAGGCCTAGACCCTTCTTCATTCAACTTGTCCATGCTGAGCAGATATCCTAAAGTGATCTAGAGATCGTAAGAACTGCCAATGCTGGAGTCAGAGATAACACAATGTGGAGCTGAAGTAACACAGCAGGCCAGGCAGCATCAGAAGAGCAGGAGGCTCTGAAGAAGGGTCCTGACCCAGCTTTCCTGTTCCTCTGATGCTGCCTGGCCTGCTGTGTTCTTCCAGCTCCATACTGTGTTATCTCTAAAGTGATCTAGACCAATTTGCCAGCACTTGGCCCATAACAGTCTAAATTCTTCCTATTCATAGACCCATCCAGATGCTTTTTAAATGTTGTAATTATACCAGCCATCACCACTTCCTCTGGCAGCTCATTCCATACAGGCACCACTCTCTGTGTGAAAAAGATGCTCCTCAGGTCCCTTTTTAATCTTCCCCTCTTACCTTAAATCTATGCCCTCTAGTTTTGGGCTCCCTCACCCTGGGAAAAAGGCCTCAGCTATTCACTTTATCTATGCCCTCTATGATTTTATAAACCTCTATAAAAGTCACCCCTCAGCCTCCGATGCTCCAGGAAAAATAGCCCCAGCCTATTCAGCCTCACCCTACTGTTCAAACCTTCCAAACCCTAGCAACATCTTTGTAAATCTTTTCTGAACCCTTTTAAGCTTAACAACATCTTTTCTATAGCAGGGAGACCAGAATTGAATGCAGTATTCCAAAAGTGGCCTATTCAATGTCCTGTACGGTCGCAACATGACGTCCCAACTCACTGGCCAATGAAAGCAAGCATGTCGAACGTTTTCTTCACCAGCCTGTCTACCTGCACCCCTCGGTCCCTTTGTTTGGCAACACTCCCCAGGGCCTGATGAAGGCCCCATTGTCCTCTGAGGTAACTTTCTTCACTGTCCACTACACCACCAATTTATTTGTCATCTGCAAACTTACTAACCGTACCTCCTATATTCACATCCAAGTCAGTCACATAAATGACAGAATGCAGTGGACACAGCACTGATCCTTGAGGCACACCATTGGTCACATGCCTCCAGTCCAAAAAACAACTTTCCACCACCTATCCTCTGTTTCCTAAATTCGAGCCAATTTTGTATCCAGTTGACCAGCTCCACTAGATTCCATGTGATCTAACCTTGCTAACCAGTCTACCATGCAGAACTTTGTCAAACGCCTTGCTGAAGTCCATCTCGGTAACTCTATTGCTCTGCCTTCATCAATCTTCTTTGTCACTTCTTCAAAAAACACAATCAAGTTAGTGAGACATGATTTCCCATGCACAAAGTCATGTTGAGTCTCCATAATCAGTCCATGCCTTTCCAAATGCATGTAATTCCTGTCCCTCAGAATCCCCTCCAACAACTTATCCACCATTGATGTCAGGCTCACCAGCCTATAGTTCCCTGGCTTTTTCTTACTGCTTTTCTTAAATAGTGACACCACATTAGCCAACCTCCAGTCTTCCAGCACTTCACCTGTGGCTATTGATGATACAAATATCTCAGCAAGGGGCCCCACAATCACTTCCCTGGCTTCCTATACAGTTCTAGGGTAAAACTGATCAGGTCCCGGGGATTTATCCAACTTTATGCATTTTAAGACATCCAGCACCTCCTCTTCTGTAATATGGACAATTTATTTGCCAAAGTTCCTTGGCTTTCATGTCCTTCTCCACAGTAAATACTGACGCAAAATACTCATTTAGTACGTTACCCATTGCCTGTGTTTCCACACACAGATGCCCTTGTTGCTCTTTAAGGGGCCCTATTCTCTCCCCAGTTACTCTTGTTCCCTTAATATGTTTGTAGAATCTCTTTGGACTCTCCTTAACCCTATTTGCCAAAGATATCTTTTTCCGGATGGCAGCAGAGTAGGATGCTTCAGGCTAGAGTTAATATGTTCCGCCCATTTTATTTTCTTTTTTTTTTGTGTTCTTTTCTTTCTTCTTCTCTCCTGGCCTCCGGTCGACTCCTGGCCTCAGCACAGACTTGGAGGGTCCTCCCGGTCTGGCATGGCCTCAGCATAGACTCCTGGTCTCAAGGTGATTCCAGAGCAATCTCCCAGCCTCATGAACCTGGAGGTTAAGCCCGGCATGGTCCGGGGCCAAGGCTTGGTGAGGACTGAAGGCTATCTGCCAGCATGGTCTGAGTTAGAAGACTATTGTCCTGAACTTTTATTTCTGCATTGCTGGACTTGTTATTGCTCTAGTTTTCTAAGATCTGTGTAACTGAAGAAGCTGTACCTAGGTTACCATTTTATCCAAGATGACGCTGCAGGTGATCACTTATACACTTTTCACCATACTCATTTGAGTACATGCCAATAAAGCAAATTCTAATTCTAATTCTATCTCATGTCCTTTTTTTGCACTCCTAGTTACCCTCTTAAATGTACTCCTACTGCCCTTATTCTCCTCTAGGAATTCACTCAATCCCAGCTGTCTGTACCTGACATTTTGTGACCAGAGCCTCAATTTCTTTAGTTATCCAGCATTCCTGACACCCGCCAGCCTTGCCCTTCGCACTAACGGGAACATACTGTCTCTGGACTCTCATTATCTCATTTTTAAAGGCCTCCCACTTTCCACCCATTCTTTTAGCCTCTCTCAATCAACTTTTGAAAGGTTCTTGCCTAATACTGTCAAAATTGTCCTCAATCCAACTTAGAACTTTAATTTTTAGATCAGGTCTATCTTTTTCCATAACTATTTCAAATCTAATAGAATTACGATCACTGACCCTAAAGTTCTCCCACTGACACATCGGTTATGTATCCTGCCTTATTTCCCAACTGAAGGTCAGGTTTTGCTCCTTCTCCAGTAGGCATATCCACATACTGATTAAGAAAATTTTCTTGGGCACACTTAACAAATTCCTCTCCATCCAATCCCTTAAGACTATGGCAGTCCCAGTCTATGCTCGGCAAGTTAAAATCCCCTACAATTACAACCCTATTATTCTTACAGATATGAGAGATCTCTTTACATAATAGCTTCACAACTTCCCGCTGACTACTGGGGAGTCTATATACAATCCCAATAAGATGATCATCCCTTTCTTATTTCTCAGTTCTACTCAAAAAACTACCCTGGATGTTTTTCAAGGAATATCCTCCCCAAGTACAGCTGGAATGTTATCCTTAACCAAAAGTGCCACACCCCCTCCTCCACTGTCCCCCTTTCTATCCTTCCTATAGCATCTATACCCTGGACCATTAAGCTGCCAGTCCTGTCCCTCCCTGAGCCACGTTTCTATAATCGCTATGATATCCCAGTCCCATGTTCCCAACTGTGCCCTGAGTTCATCTGCCTTACCTGTCAGGCCTCTTGCATTGAAATAAATGCAGTTTATCAGTCCTACCTCGTTCTCTGCCTTGCTCTTGCCTGCCTTGACTATTTAACTTGCTCCTCTTCTCTACCGTACCATCCTCAGAGTCATTTCTTTTCTCACTATCTGTTTGGTTCCCACCCCTTCCCTTTAGTAGTTTAAAGCCTCCCGAGCAGCTCTATCAAATCTTCCTGCTAGGGTATTAGTCTCCTTCCAATTCAGGTGCAATCCATCCTTCTTAGGCAGGCCATATCTACCCCAGGAGAGATCCCAATGATCTAAAAATGCGAATCCCTGCCCCCTCAGCCACGCATTCATCTGCCCTATCCTCCTATTTCTACTCTCATTACTCTGACTATTGTCTATTCAAGGGCACAGAAAGACATGTCTGTGGCCAAAAGCGAGAAATCAGAATGGTGTACTGACTCCCTGGTACCAGGGTCAAGCATATCTTGGAGAGGATTCAGAATATTCTCAAAGGTGGAGAGTGACCAGCAGAAGTTACCAACGACAATAGGAAGAGAAAGGGATGAGGTTCTCAAGACAGAATATAGGAAATTAGGCAGGAGGTTAAAAAATAGGTCCTCAAGGGTAGTAATATCTGGATTACTCCCTACGCTACACACTACTGAGAGTAGAAACAGGAGGATAAGGCAGATGAATGCATGGCTGAGGAGCTGGGCAGGAGATCCTAGAGACAACTTGTGTTTCGTGACCACCCATTTACAAATGCCAGAGTTCCAGATTGATAACCATCTGAACATTTCAAACTTTATGCTTTTTGCCTTCAAAAACTAAGATGTATTGGCCCAAATGGCTTTATCCCAAAGCAGTGAGAAATCTGTTATTTTCTTCCTTATCTGGTGCGTGCGTATTTTAGGTTATTTAAAGAGCAAACAGTTATACTTTCATATGACAAACTAAGTGCATTAACAAGCTTGTCATCTTCATTAATTTACTGTAAAACAAAAAACTTATCCAATCATTTTCTGTTTAGTGCTGGAAAAAAAATTGTGAAAGCTTTACATCTAGTACCCATTTGGACAATTCAATACAAATGCCAAAGCAAAGGGAAAACAATGTTCAAATAGTTCTGCTATAACGCGTGCTTCGTTAACGCGAATTGGCTATAATGCGATTGATGAATCGTGGACACTGTTTGGATAACGTGAACTTTCTGCTGTACAGCTATAGTGATTTCCCTATAACGTGCTTTTGTATGGCGATTTTCTATAGCATGATTTTCCGTAGCGCGAGGTCACTCAAGAACGCAACTATTGCGTTATAGGAGAACTACCTGTATATATTGCTTGCGACACTGCTGACTGGCTTCTGATTGGTAGAGGTTCTGCCATGCTGAATGCACCATTTAGATGACAGCTGACAGTTAACAGTTAAACTCTCTTAAATCAGGCAAGTTAGCACTGATCACTGAGGCGTTAACCTGAGAAACGAACCAGGGAATGGCTGAAGCCTATTTTGTTGAGGTGAAAGATGCACAATGCATGTACATATTCCGTGTGCTGCATTCAGGTGCATTCTCCACTGGAACACCTCTCCCAACCAAGGTTCACTTTCCAACCAATCAGCATTTTCCTCTTGTATAACGTACGTTACTTTCCCTTTACATTGGCATTCTTGTAAATTGAGCTGATGAGGGAAGGACAAAAAGTTTCAACAAAGTGTGACTATTCTTTTCAGGGCTGTGTTCACTGACAACAGTACATGTGTGTTATGCACTGCTTCAAATGCACACACGTGCATCAAAATGGGTTCAGCTTCAGGTATTTAAATGGGATGAGGACGACAGGGCAATGTGGCTCAGGACAGGATAAGGGGGTCATGAACAGGAGTGGGGCAGGGTCTGCGGCAAGAAGGGACAGATACCATGACATGTAGGAGTAGAATTAGACCATTCGGCACTTCGGGTCTGCTCCATCATTCGACCACGGGTGATATGTATCTCAACCCCATTCTCCTGCCTTTTCCCTGTAACCTTTGATCCCTTTACCATTCAAGAACCTACATCTTGGGTCCGGTGATCCTTCCTCAGGGTCACCGGAACCCGAAATGTTAACTCTGATTTCTCTTCACAGATGCTGCCAGACCTGCTGTGCTTTCCCAGCAACTTCTGTTTTTTTGTTTCTGATTTACAGCATCCATGGTTCTTTCATTTTTTGAGAACCTACATCTATCTGACTTAAAGACACTCCCTACATCTATCTGACTTAAAGACACTCAATGACTTGGCCTCCTCAGTCCTCTGCGGCAATGGGTTCCACAGATTCACCACCTGCTTGCAGAAGAAATTCCTCCTCATCTTGGTCCTAAAGGGTCATCCCATCACTCTGAGGCTGTGCCCTTGGGTCCTAGAAGTCAACTCGCCACACACTTACCAGAGAGAGCCTCCTCTGCTTTCTTCCCCACGCGTTCACCCTTCATCACTGCCTATCTCCTGGAATTTTTACTCAATGATGTAAGGAGCCTGGAATTGTGTTTTCTCGCATTTCCGGATTAGAGGACACGCAGTTTCCCACAGTTGTAGGTGTCAACAGAACACTGCCTTTTTTCAGTAATACACAAGTTCTTATGACCAAATGATAATTTTATACTAGTGATCAGAAACCTGGATTGTGATTTTTTTTTCATTTTAAACTTGACGAAGAGAAGATTAACCACATCAGTAACTCGGTAAAACAACTGAATTCATATTGTGGTCTGTAGGACAGTGGAAGTAGAGAAAGGCAGTGCACTCTGCCCATCTCAGTTGAAACAATCAGTAAAGCTTACTTGTCCATTTCTTTGCGAATTTCATCCTCAGCCATCCCCTTTAAGCGGGAGTAAAACCAGAGATGCTCCTCGACTGTCAGTTTGTCAAACAGAACGTTGTGTTGAGGGCACATCCCCAAGTTCTTCCGGATTTCATCCATTTCTGTTCGAATGTCATGCCCATAAATTGTGGCTGAGCCAGCAGTGGGTGGGAACAGTCCTGTCAAAATAGACCTGGAAAATAGCAATGCACCAACCAGTTCAAAGTGTTTTCCACGTGTTTTCTTTGCATGTTTTTATTTGACTTCTAACATATTTATTCTTAGCTTGAAAGTGCCACGTTGATTAGAAACCACCAAAATACCCGACATCCATTCAACTACTTCAGATGCAATTCCAAAGTCACCGGGGAGCACTGCAATGTTTTACTGCAACACGCTCTCAACCTCTTTTTTCCAACCTGATGTTGATTAATTTTGAATGATTCCTCGTGCAAGTTTGGCTGAAAGTTTCTGTGACTGCACTGTTTTGACCAAAGAGTAACTACCCTTTTGGGGAAATAATAAAAGCTCTTTTCTATTTTTTTAAAAGAGCCTGGAACTCACATTGTTGTGGTTTTGCCAGCACCATTGTGTCCCAGGAATGACACCACCTGATTCTCATGCAAGTTGAGGCTTAGCTTGTTCAAGGCCAGCTTCTTTCCTGTCTTGTAGACTTTGGTCAGCTTGTCAATGCACACCACTAGGGGCAAATGGCTCGGTTCTTCCTCTATCCCACGAGTTTCCTCTGCAAGAAGATAGGATGGGAGGTTCAGTCAGCATGGCGAGCATTGTGCATGTAATGTTATCATTAATGGTAATGATTAATATGATTAATTGAGAATCATTTAATAATTGCATGACAATCATCAGTGTCCCATAAATGATCACATCAAACATGAACGTCTAGCAAACTAACCAGTATCAAATAAACAGGCAGCAATGAGCACATAATGAAATAATCTGTCTCATATGTCTCCCTACTCATTTTGTTTTTTAGACAACTAAGCAGTAGATGCACAGAGACTTTCAGTCAATGTGTTGAAGCTGGACAGGTATGTAGAATTAGAAACAAAAACAGAAGTCGCTGGAAAAGCTCAGCAGGTTTGGCAGCATCTGTAAAGAGAAATCAGAGTTAAATTTTTGGGTTCAGTGACCCTTCCTCAGAATTGAAACATTAAGTCGGATTTCTCTTCACAGATGCTGCCAGATGCTGACTTACAGCATCTGCAGTTCTTTCAGTTTTTAATGTAGAATTAGAATTACTTTTATTGTCATGTACTCAAGTGAGTACAGTGAAAAGTTTACAAGTTGCCACTTATGCTGCCATCTTATGGACAAAGATCTAGGTACTGATTCTTAAGTTCTTTTAAATTCATTCACAACGTCATTGCCCTGGCCAGTATTTATTACCCATCCCTAATTGCCCAGAGGGCAGTTAAGAGTCAATCACATTGAGAGCCTGGAGTCACATGTAGGCCTGACCAGGTAAGGATGGCAGTTTTCTTCCCTAAAGGACTTTAGAGAACCAGAGATAATGGATTCACGTTCATCATTGGACTCTCAATTCTGGATCTTTATTCGATTCAAATTCCACTATCTGCTGTGGCAGGATTCGAACCAGAGTCCCAAGAACAATACGTGGGTCCCTGAATTAACAGTCCAGTGATAATGCCACTAGGCCATCGCCTTCCCCAATACAAATTCTAAAGGAAAAAAATTTAGAAAAATAAATTTGGCTTTTGGCTTTGCATTCTCAGAATAATTAATTCCAGTGCTGCGGAAGTGCATGTTCATTCCCCTGAAACTCACTGATAAACTGTGTAGAACCAGACCAAAATCCCATATTGGCCATTGATGAAACGACTACCCTGCACTTAGTCCCAGAGATTTGTTACTCCTCCCGTGTTTTGTCATTGCTTTCTTGATACCCTTATTCCCCCAAGCATACAGACTACTTTAGTACATATCATCCTTGTATCATCCTTCTGTATAATCTGAAAGGAATTCATGTATAAAAGTGTTTGATTTCCTGACAGTTCATCCAAGTCACTTAGTCTGAAGCTGTCACCTCAATGGAATAAAGTGCCATAACATCTGTTTAATGCAGAATACATGTCTTTTACGCAAGAGCAAGTCGCATTCTCAAGGAAATAGAACATTTCCAGTAAAAAAGGGGCTAGTCTCCAGGTAATCAGGTTTTTAAGGAGCTTTTACTGAATTTAATGCATTTTTTTCTCCTTCTGTCTCACTCAGAACTTAGTGTTGCGATTAACATGTGAATTGCACTGTTAACTGGATGGGGTTATCAGCTGTTAGAGAGACAGTAGGAACTGCAGATGTTGGAGAATCTGAGATAACAAGGTGTAAGAGCTGGGTGAACACAGCAGGCCAAGCAGCATCAGAGGAGCAGGAAAGCTGACGTTTCGGGCCTAGACCCCTCTTGAGAAAAACTGATCTCTTTCAAACGTCTTTTCGTATCCCTAAATCCACCCGCATTACCTAAATGGCAGAAAACTGCATAAACAAGCAATCTGGCCAGCCAGTAGGGTGTAAATCTCTGCCATGCTATGTTAACTCAATAATCAAACAGCTCTTCTTTGAGGTTATTCTCTGCCTGGCTGATGCTTTGTCACTTGAACACTGAAAAGGAAATTATTTTGTCATGAGCTTCCTTTTCACTGAGGAGACTTCCTGCCAATCCACACCCCAAAAACCTGCTTAGAAAACCCTGCTCACAGTCTGACAACTCTGAAAAATTCCATCACAATAGCTGAGATAATCCCCAGCATTCTAAGTAAAACAATATAGATTATCCCTCAAAAGATCCTGACTGTTATTCCTTCTCTACATTTTCCTCCCAATTTGCCTTCTCTGGCATACAACAACTGTTACATTTGCAATCTATTACCTTAGTCCTTGCCCTGCAGACGTCTTTCTCAATCCTCAGGTCAATGTAGCTTCCAGCATCTGCAGTCCTTACTGTCTCCAAGTTTCTTAATCCTAATCTTGAACCTTAGACTTTTGTGATTGCAACTATTGAGATGTTCCCCTGTTGTTACATTTCCTATCTGTCTGGTTCATTAGCGGTCACAAGATTCTTCTCTTGTAATGCTTGTATATTGAACCTGAAAGGTACAGCATGTAAAAGTTCTATTCATTCCTATTATTTCGCTATTTACGCTCGCCTATTTATTTGGACTAGTTGAACACTCCCGGGAAATTGTTTGATGCCTACTACTATGTTTTTCTTTCTGCCTACGTATTTCTTCTGTCAGTTCCTTGCTGCCTCTTGGTGTTCTGTACATACTGTTATTAAGGTGACAGATCCATTTTTGTCTTTTAAATCAATTCATTTGGATCCCATGTCTATCACACTGATAATTACATCCTTTTATGCTTCTGCTATTATGTTACCTTTAACTAATCTATATCTTCTCCTTCTGTAACATTTTTGAATGAACGGTTTAATAATGCTACCCTTCATAGTGTAGGAGCAAATTACTGCAGATGCTGGAATCTGTATTGGAAACAAAAAGTGCTAGAGATCACAGCGGGTCAGGCAGCATTCGTGGAGAGAAAGCAAGCTAATGTTTCGAGTCTAGATGGCTCTTTAATCAAAGCCTCCACAGTGTTTTGCTCCTCTCCTTGCTTCCTCAATGAGTGACAGCCCGAAATATTCAGTTGCCAACCTTGTTCTCTATGGGGCAATGTTTTAGATATCCTTACTACAAATAGAATTGAAATGATCTCTGTACGGACATATCAAATGCACATGAGCACCCCTGCCAGTAGCACTAATGGTACCATTCCATCCTGTTCACTCATATTTATTGCCTTTACTCAGACACTGCCATGTTTTTAGTGGGGAGAGCACAGTGTTTCCCAAAGTGCGCATGTGCAAAACTTTTTGTGTGAGCTATCTGAATCTGTATGGGAATGTCAGGAAAAAACAGCCTGTTACAGATGGAACTCTCTAATTCAGTGCTCTATCAAGGAGTTACATTGTTTATCCCTTCTCTTTATTTTGGACAGTTATTTGATCTTTATGGGGAGGTGATGACCTAGTGGTATTACCACTGGACTGTTAATCCAGAGACCAAGGTAATGTTCTGGGGCAGATGGTGGAAGTTGAATTCAATACAAAAAAACTTGGAATTTTGGTGTCCACTGATGACCACAAATCCATTGTCAATTGTCACAAAACTCCATTTGGTTCACTAATGTCGTTTAAGGAAGGAAACTACCATCCTTACCCAGTCTGGCCTACATGTGACTCCAGACCCACAGCAAAGTGGTTGACTCTTAACTGCTCTCTGGGCAATTAGGGATGGGCAATAAATGCTGCCTAGCCAGTGATGCCCACAGCTCATCAATGAATAAAACAAAATAACTTTACCAATCTCTAGTAGTTCGTGCAATCCTTACTTCTTCCTTTAGTTCATCCTTTGAATTTTTTCACTCACATTTGTAAACATTAATTTACCATAATTTCTCACAATGCCATTCTTCCTCCCCCGTGTTATTAGTTCAAAGTCTTATTTACTTCTGTTGTTATCCACAAACACTATGATTGCAGCCCAGTTCAAGTGTAGACACCCCAGTGCCACAGTTCTTTCCTGTCCAACTACATGATAAGAGTGACCCATGAAACAGAATCTCTCCTTCCCAGGTATTTATTTTAGCTGCTGTTGACTTTCCCAAATTGTTTGCCCCAGTGTCCATTTACTCACGATTTAGATAATAATGCAATGATTATTACTCACTACTTCTTGTTTTCAAGTTATCTCCACAAACCTTGACACTCATTTAGCAGCAGCATATCCTTAGCAAGTCCGATGTCTTCCCTCTGTAAAAGGCTCTTCTCCTTTCCAAATGCTTTTCTAGCCATTTTGATACCGGCAAATGTTAGGCAATAGATCCTTCAGGACTCTCAATTCACAATACAAATGAAATTATTTTTCCCCATACTTAAAGAATTCTCAAATAATTACAACCTTTCTATTCTGCACCTTGTCTCTTTGGAAAGCCTCCTGCTCCATGGTGCCTTAGCTGGCATTCAGACTGTCCTTTCATAGTCCCTCTCTTCACCCCCATAGGTATCATGTACTTTGTATCTGTTGGCTTGGTATAGTGTCCGCTGGACCTTCTACTTTTCTTTTACTGGGTCAAACGGTGGCCATAACTGTCTTGCCTTCACCTTGTGATAATGCAGTATAATATCTATTACTGTCATGAGAGAGCTTTGCTTCAGTTTCAGTGGTGTAAATTCCATGAATGCAACTATTTTGTTAAGAGGTCAGAAAGTCATTTGGAACGGTGACCTAAACACATCATTTCTAGGAAAGCGTGTGATTCAGTTAATAGTCTAGCAGGAAGCCAATAAGATTAATTGATTAATTGTTTGCATTGCCAAGTATAGGAGAGCAGACGAAAGAGACTGGGACCACTTGATCAGTTTGACTTCAGTTCAGTGGAACAGTTTTCACCCTGACTGAAAAGCTCTACTTTGTGAAATTTCCAAACTAAGAGAGTTCATGGAAGTTTTTTGAGTTGTCAGAACTGAAAAGAGGTTTAACCCATCAGAAGTGAATGGGGGTTCAGGCCAGTATAACTAAAAAGATGTTGACACACAGAAGTCTCAGCCATCCAAGGGAAAATCTAGTAAAAGTCAGTAAAGTGAGAAATTGAAGCGTTGAAGTAGGGGTGATATTTTTATGGGTTTACTATTTATTCAGCATATGGTTGGGAAACAGATTGAAAGTATATATGATCTTTCTAAACTGTCATATATCTGTTTGAGCTTTTAATAATCTTTTGTGCAATAAAAATTGTGTCCTTGAGTTAAAAGCAGCCCCATGTGAATATGTTCAGTGATTCACCACCAAGGTAACTAACTGCAAAAAAATTTAAAATTTTAATCAAGTCAGGATTCACGCTGGGATTTGACCTGTCTAGTACTATCATCAGCTGGGATCACAAGAAACTGTGTGTTGCCTCGGTATGTTATTCAGCAATTCCTTGTCCAGCATTATGTATTGGACTGTCTTTGACTCAGGGTCCAACTCAAAACCTTTGAACCAGAGAGTGCTTAGTCAGACATACTCTTTGTAAATGTGCCATTTGAGAAATCTGTCCACAAATCCCTACAAACTACAATCTGAATAAACTGCCTGCCCTAACATATCTTAAATATCTATTAGTTACCTTTAGGTTACTTACTGAATACATTGACCACCGGAGGTTCAATTTTATTTAATAAGTTGATTGAATGTTCTTTTATATATGATGTGGAGATGTTGGTGTTGGACTGGGGTGGACAAAGCTGGAAGTCACACGACACCAGGTTATAGTCCAACAGAGTTTATTTGAAATCGCAAGCTTTCAGAGCACTGCTCCTTCGCTGGACTTCACCTGATTTCAAATAAACCTGTTGGACTATAACCTGGTCTCATGTGACTCCTTTTATATAAATCAGTAATAACATTATAGCGTGAATAATTTTCTATTCAGGAGCACCAAAAGGATCTATTGCGAATTGGAAGCTGAGTTTTTACCATTCTAGTTTTAATTTCCAAAGACTTAGAAACTATTGACAAGTTATTTTTTAATTCCAAATCAATTAAATTGACAGCATAACAAAAAAGAGATTCAACGATTTTTCTGTGAACTTCAGTGGAAGACAGCTTGGGTACTGGGAAGATTTGGCTGCAGATTCATTATAAATCCAAATTATGCAACTCGCGGTACAAAATGTCATCTTCATTAATGAAGGCACAAAAACAGACGTTTGGTCCACAGTAATATTTATCCTCTGCATGGGTCTGCTCCCACACCAACTTAATTATCAGTTATTAGTCTATTTAAATGTGGTTAGAGTCCAATCATTTACCTCATAGCACAATTAAGTATACGCCAAAGGACTAAGTTTAAAAATCCTCACTCAGTCAAGATTAATGTTACAGACGCTAATGCCACAAAGGGATATCTACATACATATCAGCATAATTTTAATTTGTTTTGGTTATGTTATTCTTGTGTGTATTAATTATGGTGTCACCTTTTCTTTTTCTTCCTGTGAGATTATTTATCTATTTACTTGGTTTAAATTACTTAGCATCTCTTTCTCATTCTGCTCTTAATTTCCACTCTCTCCAAATACACGTTGATTTTATACTTGATTTCAGAGGTTCTCTTAACATTGTGCACACAAGACGCTGAATCGAAAGACCTACCCTTCCTACTATCTCAAATCACTAAAGGGAAAAGCATAGACTACTCCATAACAAAATGTCTTTGTAACTAGAAAGAAAATAAACAGTGATTTACCCAGCCTCCTGCTCTCCATTGCGCAAGCCTGATCATCCTCCATGATGCTGAGCCTACTGCTTCTGGACCAGGGCCAGGACCATTCCCATGTTTCAATTCGTCCATTGCCCAGCCAATAGGACTTTTGGAATGGAAAGTACCATGGTCTTGGCAGTCCATACATCCCTGTAAAGAAAGTAGGTAAAATATGCTAAGAATGAAAGATCATTGCATCTGTAATGTTCTCTAGATAGGCCAAAACATTTGGCAGCCAAAACAAACATACTGTTCTGTCTAAGGTAAATACAGCAGCCAACAGACAAACAGAAAGGGGTTAGAAACAAGGGTATGTAGCCAGTTAATCTGCTTTTGGTTGTGCTGGTGGAGGAGTAAATGCTGATTACACCACTAGGGGAGCTTTCCTGGCCTCCTTTATATACACTAGGCAAACAGAGAGGATCGGAGTTGCACTCGAAAGGGGACAGCTCAGTGGCAGACTGCAGTAACAACTTCAAACATATCCTAAAGTTGTCAGTAGGGCCAGAACCAACAATGTTTGTACTCAATGGGATTTTGGTATCAGCAAAACAAAGTGACGCTGAGATCGTTGCCTTCACATTATCCTAAGCATTGATGAATCTACATGATATATTTATTATAGAATTCTATTACAGTCAACTTCAAGTCATTTTTGGTAACTTCTATGAACAATTTTACCACCCTTTCTCTCAGTATATAAACAAACCATGGTACAGGATGGACTGGTTAATTGGCATTACACTGAAAGTGCAATAACAGGCTGAAAACAACATCGAAAAAGTGCACTATAAATTACTGAATCAAAGACAGGCAGCTTGTACTGATGGTGAGACTGTAAGCCAACTCTAGAGTTCAGGCATTTAATAAAAACCATTTAATCTTCCTTTTGTTTCAAAACACTTGGCAGTGTTGTTGTTTCACAGTGACTGAATTACAGAATTGTTACAGTTAAGTAGGCTAAATACATTTTTATTACATTGGATTCCTGAATTCTTAATAGCTTTTAGGGAATTATATTTTATTTCTTTACACTGAATAAATGAAATTCTGCCTTCATCCCAAAGGACAATAGGATTTTAGATTATGCTTTCAGCATCAAAGCTATCCAAGCTTTCCCCAGAGCGACTGATCATCAGGTATCCATCCATCACCCACTTTAAAAGTTTTATCAAACTTACTTTCATAAATGTGAAACTGCAAATGGTTTGGCAACAGTGACATTGACACCTTCACAGAGAAGAAAAAGGAGGAAACTAACAAAAAGAGATGTGAAGGTTATGCAGCAAGGGAAGGAAGGAGACAAAGGAGGGGGGAAAGGAGAGAGGAAAGAGGGATGGACGAAGTGAGGATCTGCATTTATATATTGCTCTCGACCACTTCAGGACATTCTAAAGTGCCTCACAGTTAATGAAATATTTGTGAAGTATAGTTACTGTTGCAGAATAGGAAATGCGATCAATTTTTACACAGAAAGATCTTACAAGAAAAAAAGAAGCTGATGACATGTTTTTGTGATATGATTCAAGAAACCATTGGCCAACAGACAAGTGTTAACTCCAGTGGTCGTCTTCAATTAACACAATGGGGCCCCTTACTGGATCAAAGGGCAGACTCGATGTGGCTTAAGGTCTCCTCTGAAAGACAGACCAGCATTTGGTACCCATCTCCTAATTGCCATTGATCTGATGGCTTGCTCAGCTATTTCATGGATCAACGGAGAGTCATGCAGAGGCCACACTGGGTAATAATAGAAGATTTCTTTCTTTAAAGGACAGCAGTGAACCAGTTGGCTTTTTACAACAATTTCACAACAGGCGGCACGGTGGCTCAGTGGTCAGTGCTACGGTTTCCTCCCAAAGTCCAAAGATGTGTAAGTTAGGTGGATTGGCCATGTTAAATTACCCATAGTGTTCAGGAATGACTAGGTTAGGTGGGTTAGCCATGGGGAATGCCAGGGGTTACAGGGATGGGTAGGGGGATGCATCTGGGTAGGATGCATCTTCAGAGGGCAGTGTGGACTTGTTGGGCCAAATGGCCTGTTTCCACACTGTACGGATTCTTCTTATTTAAAACTGTCAATAGCTTCATAGTCGCCATAACTGAAAATTTCCTTCTTGATATTTTTTTTTCTTTATTCGTTCACAGGATGAGAGCATTGCTGGCTACGGCAGCATTTATTGCCCATCCCTAATTGCCCAGAGGGCAGTTAAGAGTCAACCACATTGCTGTGGGTCTGGAGTCACATGTAGGCCAGACCAGGTAAGGATGGCAGTTTCCTTCCCTAAAGGACATTAGTGAACCAGATGGGTTTTTACCCGAAAATCGACAATGGATTCGTGGTCTTCACTAGATTCTTAATTCCAGATATTTATTGAATTCAAATTCCATCATCTGCCGTGGCAGGATTCAAACTCAGGTCCCCAAAATGTTATCTTGGGGCTCTGGATTAACAGTCCAGTGATAATACCACTGCATCATTGTATCCTCCTTGCAGCTAGAAAGACAAGATTCCAATTAGCTTCATTAAATTGCCATCACTGCCATGTCACATCACCCAACATGGTGAAAATAATTACGTTACAGCATACCAGAGACTGGAGAAGTGTCTGAGTAGATACGATGAGATGGAAACACCTCACACATGAGATTTTCAGTTGAACTGTCTGGCTGACCAGACACCAACTGTTTGTTTCATTCAGACTGGGCTGAATTTCAAGTCAATTCCCCAGCTGCTCAGTTACAAATTTCTTTGCACCTGTGTGCAATCTCAGGAACATCCATAAAAGTGTGCCTGACAGATAAGCAGGTTGAATGCAGTGATTTGTGAAATAAGGGTGCCAGCACTCAAATCTTAAATCAAAATACAGCATTGGAAACCTGTGCTGGCACTTCCTCGCAAACCACCCAAATATGGGAAAGCTAAGGGCTTTGCGGAACACCTACGCTCGGTTTGCACCAAACAACTACACCTCCCAGTCGCGAACCATTTCAACTCCCCTTCCCACTCCTTGGACGACATGTCCATCCTGGGCCTCCTCCAGTGCCACAACGATGCCACCCGAAGGTTGCAGGAACAGCATCTCATATTTTGCTTAGGAACCCTGCAGCCCAATGGTATCAATGTGGATTTCACAAGCTTCAAAATCTCCCCTCCCCCTACCGCGTCCCAAAACCAGCCCAGCTCGTACCCGCCTCCCTAACCTGTCCTTCCTCCCACCTATCCACTCCTCCCACCTCAAGCCCCACCCCCATCTCCTACCTACTAGCCTCATCCCATCCCCTTGACCTGTCTGTCCTCCCTGGACTGATTTATCCCCTCCCTAACTCCCCACCTATACTCACCTTTACTGGCTCCAACCCCGCCTCCTTGACCTGTCTGTCTCCTCTCCACCTATCTTCTCCTTTATCCATCTTCTATCCGCCTCCCCCTTTCTCCCTATTTATTTCAGAATCCCCTTCCCCTCCCCCATTTCCGAAGTAGGGTCGAGACCCGAAACGTCAGCTTTCCTGCTCCTCTGATGCTGCTTGGCCTGCTGTGTTCATCCAGCTCTACACCTTATTGACAATCTTTAATTACAGCCAAGTACAGTGCAGATATACTACCACAAATAGAGCTAATTTAAAGCAATACTATTGTACTGGGAGGTTTTAAGTTTCAAGAAAGCTCAATCAGTCAACACCCTTTTCAGTATGAAACAGAAGGTTAAGGATAAACCTAGGCATAATGATTTGTCCCTGTACATTCCCTACGTTACATCAGTGACTACACTTCTCAAGTACTTCATCTATTTTGAGATGTCATGAAAAGTGGAGCTAGCAGGCACTGCGGTGACCTTATAGAGGTTTATAAATTCATGAGGGGCATTGTTAAGGGGAATAGCCAAAGTCTTTTCCACAGGGTAGGGGAGTCCAAAACTAAACTGCAGACGTTTAAGGTGAGAGGGGAAAGATTTAAAAGAGGCCCGAGGGGGAACTTTTTCACGCAGGGGGTGGTGTGAACATGGAACGAGCAGCCAGAGGAAGTGGTAGAGGCGAATACAATTACAATACTTAAAAGACATTTGGATAGGTACATGGATAAGGAAAGGTTTTGAGGGACAGGGGCCAAACACAGGCAAATGGGACTATCAGATTAGGAAACCTGGTTGGCATGGATGAGTTGGGCCGAAAGGCCTGTTTCCGTGCCGTATGACTATAAATGCAAATCTTCCCTTTATTTTTAAAACGTTCTCAGCAGAAATTCTACTCTAAGTACAGTGCACAGTAACTGAAATGGAACTATTTACTGCCTGGGTGGTGTACCTAAGGGATAGTATAAGACAAGGAGCTACAAATTACCAATACTTATTTACAGCACAGAAACAAAGCATTCAGCTCGGTAAGTCCATGCTCCAAACGAACCTCCTCCTATTTCTCTTTATCTAACCCTATCAACATAATCTTCAATCCCTTTCTCTATGGTGTGCTTATCTAGCTTCCCCTTAAATTCATCTCGTTCTACTATTTACACATCCTTCCTAAAATATGGTACCCAGAACTAGTTGTAAAACTCTAGTTGAGGCCAAGCCAGAGTTTTAAATAATTCATACAGAATACAAAAAGAAGTTATCATTCAGTTTTCACCTAAAAAGTTTGCACCTTGGCCTCAAGGATCCATTGACATTATGTTGCTTTATTCCTCATTCTTCCTCACTCCTTCCTTAATCCACATCTCTAAGTTATCCCCCTATTTGGTTGTTCTTCTTTCTATCCAAGTGCTCATTGTGCTTCTTTCTTTAGGCTGTGTAGGCCATCATTTATTGTCCATTCCTAATTGCCTAGAGGGCAGTTAAGAGTCAATCACGTTGCTGTGGGTCTGGAGTTACCAGGCCAGACCAGATAAAGATGGCAGATTTCCTTCCATAGTGAACTAGAGGATTTTTTACGATGATCAGCAGAGTCACGTGGTCACCATTAGGCTAACTTTTCTTGTTCCACATTTTGACTGAATTCAAATTTCACCATTGGCCATGGTGGGGCTTGAACCCATGTTCTTAGAGCATTAATGTGGGATTCTGAATTACTTGTCAGCTGACATTACCACTACATAACTCCTTTGTTGTTGGGTCTTCATTTCTATTGGTGCCATGTGGCTCTCTTTCTTTCTA